GTTTTAGGCCGGGAGAATGTTAGCCTTGCTTGGCATAACGCGAGAATTGGCTAGGCACAGCTAACGGAAATGGTAAATGAATGGTTAAATGGACCTACTATATATAGGCTTCCTTTCTAGTCTTTCCGACACTTCAAAGCGCTTTACACGGCATTCACACACCAAGTGTCACTGCAAGTAGATGGGCAAAAGTGCAATTTATAACACATTTTACACACCGATGCACAGCCAATTGGGGTTCAGTGATTCTTGCTCAAGAATACTTACGACACGTGGTGGGGGAGGGAGCAGAGGATCGAACCAAACAACCCTCCGATCTCACAATATATTTCACAAGCTTTGCCTTAATCCTAGCTTTGACTTTGTGTTGGACTCTGTGTTGTGGTGGATATCAGTCGCTTGTTGACATTAGCAGACTCCATCTATTTGCTAATGTTATCTAGTATTGCTCACTGTTGACACTGTAGGCACTGAAAATCCGACCCGCATTACTACATAGAAACCCATATAAATCAAGAGAAAGTAAGGGAAGGTCTAATTTTTTTTAAGTTACGTTCCAACTCGTTCCACAAATTTGCAATAAATCTGATTGTAAATACTTCAGAATCTTACATATGGAGCATTTAACCTTTTCCTGCAGGTTTTTTTTTTTTTTTAACTGTTGAAAATGTGCATTGACATTGCAGATACTCACTCACTCACTCTTGTTTAATTGGATGTGTGTCCCTCTAGGTTCCTGGTCACAGAGGTCCATCTCCCGTTCCTTGCAGCGAGCTGAGACTTTACTCAGAAGCACCTTAAATCCCAGTCTGAAGTGGTTGTTCCATGACCGCAGTCAAGATGAGGAAGAGGAAGAGGGACATTTTGTCGTCGCTCATAACCTGGTGTCCCGGTCCTCTGCACGTCTCCTGCATCTCCAACAAGCTCTTCTGACTGTTGCACGCCAGTGGCAGCTTGTTGGTGGGGCACAGGTGCGGTCAGCCCAGGTGAGTTTCTGGAATTGCAGAGAAGCTGGATTTAAGGTGTAATGAAACAAGAACTGTGGCAGTCAATATGGAGAGAACTGCTCGTTGGAGACAGAGGAGACAAATTGTATAAATAATTGTTAAAAATGAGAAGATAAAAAAGAAGACAAATATATTAATGATTAAGATTAGTTATTTTATTGCTTTTCAAATAAGAACTCTATATAAATCAAAACTTTGAAAAAACAGAGAGAAGATGCAGTGTCAGAGCTGTCCTGATCACTGGAAAAAAATATCCTCTCTTCCTCGCCCATCAGGTCTGTGTTCGAGGCCTCACAGCAGAAGGCGGTGTTCTCCTCCTACCGTCCTCCCCCTTTGTGCAGGGGAACTACAGAGCTCTGTGGAGGCTCCTGGAGCACCGATCCCTGCTGCTCTTCATACACGAGTACACCAGGAGGGCTCGTCTAACAGCAGTATATGTATCCAGAGTGAGCCACCTGCTGGAGGATTATTTGAAGAAACCACACCAGGTGATGCAAAACTGCATGGGTTTCTCAAAGTGTATAAAAGTAACCAACTTTACAGCTTCTTGCAGCGTTCATTTGCTCACCAGCTACTCTCAAAATGTGTCTGTTTCTGTTGCGTGCTTGCCGGGCTCCAGTTCTCATGCTCATTATCCTATGCTAGCTCCTATGCTAGTAGTGTAAACAGACCTGCCCCTGTTATTTAAGCCATACCAGTCCGGGTAGATACTGTGTTACAAGAGAAAAGGCCTGTGTTGCAACCATTGAAAGTATATATTTATATATTTTTTTGTTGTTGAACTAAAGTCCCCTGATACTTTCCTCCCGGTGACAAGCTCTGGAACTGAGCCTGACACTGTTTTTTTTCTTTCTGTGACTATCTGACAAATTAAAAGTGGGTCGACTAAGACTCTTCTCAATGACTATTGGTTTAGTGGACTATAAGGGGGGCAGCCCTAGATGTTAGAGAGATTTTTTTTATTGTGTAGTTGCTGTGACTACGGTAAAAGGACAGGTTGAGGTATTTGCAGTTATGAATGACACATCTGGGCAACACCAAACACGTCATGTCAAGCTGTTGTGAGCATTACTTCAACTTCCACAGATGTGGCGTGAAGGCATCATGCATATATACACATTTTCCAACAGCAAATTACGTACATTCTCTCTCCTGAAATTTGAAGCGGCACACTGGGAAAAGCAGGGGACTCTGTGCAGTGACAGACACCTGAACCACTGAACAGACTGATATGTATACAGTCCCTAAAAATAGATTCTTAACCCAGACTATACATATTTTCTATGATATTATAGTATCAATCACAGGGGAAGTGCTAATATCATGAGTTATTAATCTGATTATGATGATGTTAGTGATATATCCTATGAATTTTTATTTCGGACTGGTGGTGCACTGACCAACCTACTGACATAACCACCCCTAGATGCTATGAGAAAGCTGACATCAAATGTATGCTCAGCCTTATAGTCTTTTTGACCAGATAGATTTAGAGTTGTGTAGTGGATGAGAACAGGACGTCAGAGAATATCGGTAACTGTAACGTTAGATGGAATTGCCATCCAGGGTTAAAATATTTAAAGCCCTGCCTTTCCGTTGGACAGTTGGATTGTTTTCCCACGCTGTTCAGAATCTGCTGTCTGTCTGCCTGTCTCCATGTGAATGCAGCATTATTCCCAGTGAGAAAAAAGTTTTATAAAACAAGTTTGCATTTCTCAAAGTAGTAATGTTTGTATCTGTGCTGAAAGTCAGGTACCTTATAAGTGCTTGTACAGAGACACTTGAAGTGATGCTTATTCACAAACATAAGCATTCTCCTCTCCCTTTCAGACCCCGTCCACCTGGTCTTCCTTCAGGCTTGGTCTTTGCTCTCTGAGCCAGGAGCTCCGGGTCCATCTCAACCACTGGTCTTGTCTGTTCTCCAAAGTCCAGTCTGACCACTATTTGAGACCTGCTCTGGTCCAGCAGACAGGGATGCTGGTGGAAATGAAACATAATCTGGATTTACTTGGTCTGCAGGCACTGGTTTTGATGGAGCATTATGTGTATGTCATTCTATCTGCTGTAGCCCAGACTGAATTAGACTCTGTACCAACAGAAGTCCTGGAGGATATTTTAGCAGGTGCAGAGCTGTATAACCAGGCAGTGTGGGAGAGAGAGCAGCACAGCACCACCCAGCTGAGGACTGCAGTGTTACAACAGGCACATTATTCTACACTGGATTCTGGTCTTCCAAACAGCAAAAGGCATCACCCTGCTGCCTTCTCAGTCAAAGAACTGATGATGATTTTAGCCGCTCATCATGCAGAGACAGCAGCCAGGCAGCTGAACAGCTGGGCTTCTGACCAGAGCTGTCACATTTATCAAGACCACACAAACTACAAGGCCTACACATGTTCTGATAGCTGTGGGACCTCTGCACTGAGATCTGAGTGGACCTGGCAACAACTGCAGCATGCTTACCTTATCTCCTCTCCTCTGTTTTCTACGAATAATCACCCCCCTTTGCAGCCATCACTTTGTCAAACCTGCCATAAAACTCCTCCTGTTTACATCCCTGATCCTCATCCGGACAGCACAATCTTGGAAATTCACCATCCTGTATTAGCCAAGCAACATAGAACAGAGGGCTCAAACAAAGACCAAACGAGCCAGTGCCAAACATACATATCCCAGACTGGAATAGCCAAGACCAGTGTAGAAGCTTTAGTCTCAGTACAACCAAATGTAAAAAGACAGAACCGTTTAGAAAACTGTAAACCCTTGCAGACCACTTCACCCCCTTCATCCACCTTCCACCGTCTCTCAGCCCTGCCTCTGTTAAGGGTTTATCAACAGGATCATTCCTCAGCAGAGCTACTTTTTCAGCTGCTGGTTTCCTCCACTGACCTGCTTGCTCCATTGGCATCACATACACCTACACCAACTGCGCACCTGCCCCCAAATACAATAACTAATGTGCTATTACCAAGTGTAAAGACTGACCCAATGACTTTAACTGCTCCAAGCATAAATACAGCTGATTCAGTGGTACTGAATAGACTTAGTACAGAACTGAACAAGAACCAACCTATGGACGGAACTCAGCAGGAATGGGCTGAACTAGAAATGATAACCAGGCCAGAAGCCACTGTCAGGTAATGTAAAGATTAACCAGCCACTGTCTGTTGTGTTGATTGTTTATTCACTGTTGCTAGACATCCAAGGTCTCATAATGCTTTGATCAAATGCTTATCAGATTGTCTGAAACCACCTTTTCTGACGACAGAATTAGACACATTTGTAACTCCACTCCACAATTACATCCACTTCACGTAGTAAAGTATTTTTTTAATTCTTTGCACAACTACTTGGGGGCGGCTGTGGCTCAGAGGAAGAAGCGGGTTGTCCCTAATCGAAAGGTTGTTGGTTCGATCCCCGGGGCTCATCCTGCCACGTGTCGGAAGTAATCCTTGAGCAAGATTACTGAACCCCCAATTGCTTTCCGATGCCAAGCATTGGTGTGGGTGATGTGTATGAATTATTAGTTTCTGTTCGATTGGACTTTCACTGAGGTGAATTGTGTGTGAAAGGGTGGATGTGCACGTAGGTTAAAAATAAGCGCTTTGGAGTGGGGTCGGAAGACTTAGAAAGGCGTTACAAGTACAGGTCCATTTACCATTTTACCGCATTTACGCATATTGGTACTTTGCGTCAAGTCAATTGTCCCAGTAGTGCGATTTGCCAGGACTCTAAAATCAATTCCGGAAAGTACCATGTCAGAAAATTTGGATCAACTCAAGCATGTGAGTTTGTGCTTTTCAAGGCACGTTCCACATGGTGTTGCTGTGCCAGTAATTAGAGATTTAATAGATAGAGTATTAGATACGTTAGGTACATACATAGAGGTTGTTTCACACGAAGGCAACTTCGGAAACAGTAACAAGGCAGGAAGGGGGGCTTCCCAAAAGGGGTTACGGTCTAAGACCTACTCTATTTGGAAAATTGTTATGAGATAACTTTTGATTATGAATTGGGCAAATAAAACATAGAAACTGGAAATTGAATTGAATTGAATTGAATTCAAATAAATAATCGTTCATGGGCGGCTTTTTACCTATATTTCACTAACAGCTAACTTCCTCTGAGTCAGAACTACTCTTTAGGTGACCACCAATGGACAGTTTGCAGGTCCTGCCCCCTGTTTGTGCCTTCAGCTCAAGTTTCAGAGCGGAGTGAAGTCCTAGGGGAGAAATTTTTGGAGACTTGGTGGCCCACCAGAGAAGGAGACAGTGGAACCCAAACCCGTCTTCGTTGGCCTCACTCTGTACAGTGCGTGACCTCTTGCGGCAGTCGCTGGCGTGTTTGATGATCTCGTTTGGACAGGTATGCGTGCAACTGCTGTGGGACTCTTTCCAGCAAAGCCCTGCGACTGCAGGCTGGGGCATGTGCCCACAAGCACGGAAACACTGGCAGGGAAGGCCATTCAACCTCCGGAAGACAGTCACAGGGAGGTATCCAAATCCTACACAGGGATGAGTCAAGCCGTCAAAATCGATGGGTAATGATATTTTGAGCCTGCAGTTAACAGTGTTTACATGTCTTACAACCAGCCATTACATATTGGTGTTATCTGCTTTCATTAACTGATTGTTTGAATTATTGATTACTCTTACACATGTACAGTGTGGTGTGTGTAGTGTGTGGCTGCTAATTGTTTTGTAAATTTTATCTGATATCGACTGATAGTAAAAGGTTTATTTAAGTAGTTACTCACCCAGTCTCTGCTTTCTCAATCCTTGCTAGCACTTATTCTCGGAGGCTTCTGATTGTACCTTGTTTTTCACAAGAATTAGACTGTAAGTATAATGAAGTCAAGATTTTGGGGGTAACACCCATGGGCGACATAATTTATATCGAAGATGATGTTACCAAAGGCTTACACTTAAGACCCCAATGTAGTATTAAGTAATAGGGGGTATGGACCATATTACATTATTATCATCATGGCTGGAAGGCTTCAGGTTGCCTCAGCGGTATCTCTACCCCCCCCCCCCCCCCCCCAAAAAAAAAAAAGATTTCAAACTAAAGAACAGGGTAAATAGATGCTTATCTGTGATGCAATAAAAAATACATTTGTTTACACCAATGTAATGTAAGTATGTTTAGGTGCCATTGTAAGTATTTTTGGGTGTTTACTGCCACATAATAGAGAATCTTTAATTCATTAACATTTATTTTCCCTAGGATTAGTTATTATAAAAATACGTCACCATTTTGCATGTTGTTACCCAAGCAAATATACAGGGGTATTGGTAGGGAGTTTGTATTCATTTCTTGTGATTGCAAGTTTGCGAATTGTTGGGAGTTACTGCATGATGATTTTCCAGCGTTTAAAGATCAATTGTATTTCAGGAGCCGACATACTATGAATCTACTGGGTTTTGTTGTAATCTGCTTCCAAGGAGTGGAGAACCATGCTGGATAGACTTCAGTTCTGTATCTTTTTTAGCCATTACAGGCACATGTTCAGTGGGACTGTATGGTTGAGTACACATATTACACACTGAACACAAACAAACCACTCTTTGTGAAATCGTTCTTGTTGTAGAACAGGAGCTAATCTCAGTTGGCAGAGGACTACCATCATTTGGACTGTTAAGGCTGGTTTAGGGGAAAGTTGCAGATACAGGGGAGACAGTAAACTAATAGGCGAAATTCTCTGTATTTTTTTAATCTCTTAGGGTTGAGGTTGGGGAATTGTTTTGCGTTGAGGGAATGGCAGACTCCGTCCCACAAGCTGAGTAGAGCCAGTGTGGTAATCGTATGGTCTGGTAGTGCAGTAAGGGGTGTATCCATGCGTAAGTTATTGTTGTTCTCGAGCTAACAAAAGGTGTTCAAATACAGATATGAGACAGGAGGTAGTTATGGTCAGTAGGCAGGACTCAGCCGGGGAATCTGCAGGCAGAAGAAACTATGAGAGCTTTGCTATAGATGGCATGATAACATTAATAGTTGATGCAGACTGACAGAGTTGAAAGATCTGGAGCTGTGAGACAATGTATCTAGTATTTAAATCTCATGTATCGGTAGATCGTGTGTGCATTGCTGGGTAACTCGACCCGCTCACATCTTGTTCTCCACTACCTGTAATCAAAACCATACATGGGTGAAGGGGACTAGGGCCAGACATGTTCTGCAACATGCCCCTCGTTCACTTGCCCTCGGCCCACTGCCCTTCGTGGGGAACTCCTCCTTCTCCCTCCTCCCCCTCAAGTAAGGTCTCAGTCTAAAACTGAGTGAACTGTGTGATGATTGTCCTCCTCGTGTGGTCCTGAGGGAGTGAGGGAACAAGATGGATCCGAGGGAACTACCCACATGCATGCAGTACGTCATTGCCGCTATAACGCCGACGGTCATTGTGAACTACTGACAAGGGCATTAATAAAAGTGCTGTATAAATCCCCTGGCTCTTCCCCGCCATTTCCACCTCCGCGCTCCATAGGCCCGTGCGACGTATGCTGTTACGTCATACCAAGGGCTGAGGGTAAGTGAACGAGGGGAAGTGGAACTACTAATGAAACGCAGCCATGGACTGGCTTTATATATTTTAATGTCAGCCTATTTTAGGCTAAGTGTGTGTTTTGCCTTTTTGTTTTTGATGTTATGTCGGATAATTGGTTATCAGGGAATATGCAGAATTAAATCACAAGCGTCAGATCATCATTTTCATTAAAGTGTGTTGTATAATAAACATAAACATATGGGTGTATGGATAAACTAACTGTCTGTTGCATTATTTTGTCATGCTGTCTCTCACACGCCTGTCTGACTTTCTCTCCCTGTGCCTGTCTTTCTTCAGTGCTTTGTAGAAGTTTAGGTACAGCTCTGAAAGATAAGTGTCTAAGAGACATAAATCAAGGCAGCAACTCTGTAATGCCGTCATCTGAGCAAATTGGAGGTGTGATGATGTCAGTGACCATGGAGCACTTCCTGCTGCTGTCCCCTCCTCTCCTGTCATCTCTGTGCTGCCATCACTCAGAGAGTGGGGCCTCAGGTAAAAGGCATACACAATATATTTGAGGGTGCAGAAGTTTTGTATATGTCCCCCCATATTAGTTAAAGGAAGATAGAGCTAACAGGGAGCATATACAGAGCAATTAGAATGGGTGTAATTGTATTCTACATTGTGTTCTACATTGTGTTGCACAGTATCTCCACTGTTCTCACACTTTACCTGTTATATGATGACCATAAGTGTGTTTTGGTGGTGTCCTCCCCAATGGTAAAAAGGTGTCTGTTGGTATGCTGGTTGCCGTCGATAAAGCTGCTGTTCTTTTCATCTTGTAGACATTATACATCATTTCAACGCACTGCTGTTTCTCTCTCTCTGTCTTGTTCCCCTAGGTTCTTGTAGTGTCTTCCCGTCCAGGCTCACTCTTCAGAGACAGACTGTTGGCTTGGCATTAACCACAGTACAACTATCTACAGTCTGGGTTATGTCGAAGGCTTACCAGTTCCTCTCCTCATGGAGCCTCAACAAGTTCCTGCTTATTACACAGGGAGACCTCAAAGTAGGTATTAGTACTCTTTTATATAAACCACTGTAGTTATAGTACAAAGCTGGAAACCAACTTTTTCACATCCTTCCCAGAACTATTTGCAGTGTGTACTTTCTTTGTCTCAGCAGGTGCTGAGAGAGTCATTACAGATGATGGTGCATCAAACTAAATCTCTGATGATGAACTCACACAGTGACCATCATTCCACTCTTCATAACCACAACCAGCTTCTGCTGAGGCAGCAACTGGAAGCACTTGACAAGGCTGTATCTGAGCTGCAGGTAACCTGTCTAATTGATTCTACATTTCATAAAGAAATTAGAAAGCTGATTCCTCTTCAGTTTTGTGTTTTGACAGTTTACACATAGCTGATCAGAGGCAGAGATGATGACCCACTCCAAATGGAAAGCAACAAAAAACGATGTTGACCTGTGCAAGGTCAAAAATGAATGTTCATACATTCAGCAGCATTATATTTGACAGACTTCCCCAGTTAATTACTTACATTGAGACAATTGTTTTTCTGTAGACATGCAAATAGCCGTTATCAACTTAAAAATGCGCCATTTTCAGACATTACATTTCATTTCAAACCTTCAGAATATAAATGGGGGGAAAAAAATGGATAGTTTGGTGTATGTAAGTGATAACCCTAACCCTGAAGTGGAGACTGCTGATCTAGAGTGTGAGAAAAAGCTCTTCTTGAGAAAAAGGCCTTTAAAGAAATGGATTGTAAAAAATTTTGTAAAAAGATTTTTCAACAGTTTTAACTAACAGATCAGCCATAATTTTATGAGCACTGACAGGTGAAGTGAATAACACTGATTATCTGGTTATCATGGCACCTTTCAGTGAGTGGGATATATTATGCAGCAAGTGAACATGTTAATGTTAGAAGAAATCTACACTCAAATAGACAAAGTAAAATAAATACCTAAATTATGTTGAATTACAGACGTTACCTATATGTCACTTTTATCTTTTAACCTTCTTTTAGATGTGGTTGTCTTTTCAACATAGACAAGCTTATTCCATAACATAGGAAAGGAGACAGTTGACGAGGTTCCAGAGGGGGGCGGGACTTAGGATAGGTCAGTTGTTTTCCGCCCCATGTCCTTGCACATAGGCTGCTGTCAGATTTTAACTTTGATTAATATTATTTGTTAAAGGATTCAGGGTTATTTTATTGACATTTACAACACATTTTTGGATAATGAAATTCAGATCATAGTTCCCTTTATATTGAAGTTGTCTAAGACCAAAGTGATTTTCATTGGCTTTCACAGGAGACCCACTTCTCTTGCTCCTAACCATTATTAAAGGGGAGCCTGTGACTGCAGTCCAGCAGTACAAATACTTGAAACAATTCTAGATGATCAACTTACCACTGACAACACTGCTTTTATTTTTAAAGGCTGTTGAAAGTGTTCTATACTTTTATTGAGTCCATTTTTACATTTGCCACTTGTATTATTAAGTCAAAGCCACACAAAAAGCTCAAGCCATCTTATTGGACTCCCAGGACCCTTTATATAGTGAGCTCAGCTTGTCCCCCATCAAGGTGGAGGTTTTATTTTGCCTGATGTAGCTTTTTTATGCTACTTGCAAAGAAACATTCATAGCTAGCTATTTAATAATCAGTTAATAACATACATACATCAGTAGTAGCCTAACTTTACACATGATCCGTAATGATAAAGATACAGAAAATACATGGCAAAAATGACATCAAGGCTATCTATGATCCCACTATTCCTAATGTCACTGCTCTGTGTCATTATCTATCAGACCTTCTCTTCTCTGATGCTGAAGACCTTCTCCAGTGACTGCAAGAGGATGTCAGGAGAGATCTTTGAACAGACCATGCCTTCTGCTGTACACTGGAGACCCAGCCTCAGGACAGGTACTGAAGTCTGACTGTTTTTAATGGGCAGTCTGTGACAGTAGTTTGTAACCTGGGGTCCTTGAGGGGATTCTAGGGGGCCTCTTTTTCACTGTTATTTTTGTTAATTGAAGTTCCCTAATAAGGGAATGTATACGAATGACTATAATAATAATAACTACTCTAAGCTCAAGCTATAACTAAACAATACAGAGACCCTGTCTTGTTTTGTTTGACACAAATTCTTTCTGCGTTTTTTGTGAGTTTCACAGCCACTGTAGTTTCTCCTACGCAAATGGAAGGTGAGCGTTATTCAGTTTAGCTGAACTTTAGCGCTAGATGCCACTAAATCCTACACACTGGTCCTTAAACGTGAATACTTCAATAGGAATGCTCACCCAACCTTTGGTACATTTTACCGTGCATTGATAATTGTGTTTCTCTGTTGGTGCACAGGTATTCCCAGCTCTCCCAGTGAGTATGCATCTCTGGCAGCTCAGACTGTGATTGGTCAGGTTTTAGAGGGTGTGGCACCATTGTCTGATGATGCCCGTGTCCAAGCACTGAGCATAACAATGACAGCTTTCATGGAGGCATGGATGGAACACATCCTGAAACAGAAGATCAAATTCAGGTATGTTTTTGGTCAAAGCATCATACATTAATTTCTACTACAGTGTTATCCACCAAATCCATGGTGCAGTTTAAAACCAAGATTAAGGAGTGTACTGAACGGGATGGCCCTGTACCCTACTAGTTAATGTGCTTACCACAAAACTGCAACATGCAGGGTTCGATTCCCAGCTGGTGGAGATTCTTTGTTTTATGTCATACCCTTCTATCTGCCTATGTTTCCGGTCTATCTCTATACTGACTCTTGAATAAAGGCAAAACACCCAAAAAATAATAAAAGATAAAAAAATAAATGTAATTGTTGTAAATGTAAGTGCTTTTTAATGCCAGTGCCTCTCTTGGTGTCATCAACAGTATCCATCAACAGGAGGCAAAGTGGCAGCATATAGCAGTTAAAAATGTAGAGCATAGTGTTGTGTCTCGTCAAGTGTGTTAA